TGATAGTATGGATGTCTAGAACAGGCCCAATTTAGTAACCTATATTTCTCTGTAAAAAGTACAAAAAAAATTCTAAATATAACAAATAACATAAACTAAACTTAACACATCATAACAATTAGTAATGTAACCAAATTAATATCAAATGCATTTCAATATTCCAAATTTTATTCAAATATCCAACAATATTAAACATAAGAATCCTAAAATGTGTCTAACTATATCCAACAATCTCAAACATAATTATTCCAAAAAATATCTAAACATTCAACAAAATAACCTATAAAACGAAAGAAAGAAAAATAAAATGAATGCCTACGTGCAAAACGACAAATTATCATATATTTCCTCTCCATATATATCACTACCAAACCATGAACATCCATCACCAACCTGTGAACAAAAGGATAAAAACTTGAGTATTTTATCAATGCATTAACTTCAACAATAATATACAAATATAGTTAAAATTAATTGAATTAATTAAATTTATTTCATTTTTAAGTGTAAACACATGAGTATTTCATATTTTTTTGAATTAGTAAAAAATTAAGCCTAATTTCAAAATAATCTCACAGCTTAAAGTAAATTAGTTTAATGAGGTGTCAAATTTACCTTTATTTCAACCGAGAGAAGTTTCATCCTCCCTTACACCAGATGCATCCTCCCCGACACTGTTGCTTGGAACTAACCCTTGAATATTTGCTAGATCTATCCCATTTTTTACAGCCAACATTTGAATAACTGCATGCATTGTACTCATGTTTTGGGCCTGGTTAAGTAACTGCTTTCCCTGGTCAGCTAATTGTTACTGCTGGTTAACTAACTACTGTTGAAGAACAATTACCTCGGAGTTAGGAGCCTCAAAATGTGTGGAAGATGAAGTAGTGTCCTTACGGATCCCATATCCCTTCAAGTAGACCGACCTCTTCGCAAGTACTTCCCTGGAAATCTGCTCCTCAGATAGTGGATGTTTGACACTAGGTTGAGATTGCTCAGTGATCTTTGAAACCATAGTGGCCTATGAATGAAATATAAGTAAGCTTAAAATATAACATCAAAATGCAAACATATATTATTGAAATTGAAATAGTTATGGTTACATGATGTTCCTCAGCCATGTTATTTATCTACACTCCTCCATGTCGGTGACGTTTGTGGGTGTCCTCGAATAGTTTTGTAATAGTCGGTTTGCTTCGTTGTACCTTTCATTTCATTAGATTTTCTAGTCAAACAATAATTATGTATTTATAATTTAGTATGTCCAAATTTGTAAATCTACACTTACAAGGATAGATGCTCGCGATGCAAACAATCCTGAGCCACTCGTATGATTATACTTCACACAACCTCTTTCTTTCATGGCATTCTATGCCTTTGCCTACAAATAAAAACAAAAATAGGTAACATTAATTAATATACAAGGATGATATTACTTTAGTAAATATTTTTATAAATACTTTCCAATCATCAGTTTCCCATAGATTATCAATCATCCATTCCCAATCATCCTGTGTACAACAATATAATGTCTGACTTTTGAGGTCAGATACTTTGTCTTCTTTAAGGGATTTGTAGTGCGTGTGTAATCTACTTTTCCATTCATTGTATAAAATTTGGCACTTCTGATCAATAATACCTCTCATATCCACGTCGTTATTGTGGTCTCCAAAGTCAAAAGTTTGCTGCAGTTGGAAATAATAAAATTCAATATATTTTATATATCATTGCGATCAAAATAAATAACATGTTAAATATATAATACATATATTTCAAATTACCTCAACTCTTGTAACAATGGACTCTCTTAACCTAAAGTCAATGGCTAACCATCCATCATTTCGGACTGGGGCATGAACTCGAATTTGTTGACCAAGAGTAGCTGCTAGTGGTGTGGCGTAATCCTCTTCTATTGCTTTGGTCGAACGATTAAGTGTAACGGGTATTCGATTACCACATTCCTTTCTAATCTTCTCCATATTCTTTCCTCAGGTCAGTCCTCGTACACGTTTCTTGCCCAAACTAGAATTGATGCTATAATGACTAAATTTTATTCAAGTTAGTTGACATAAAACATGAATGCACTAAATAAGTATTGAGATAAGAAATTACCATTTCATTTAAGTAGTCCTTTATTTCTCACCTCCATTGTTAGTGACAGTACATGGCCTCGAAAGGTGGTCAGGCTGAGTGGTTAAGGTAGGGAGCTGATCAAGCCTAGTATATGAGGCAGAAAAATGGATAGGTTGGGTCGACACCTCATGTGTATTCTCTGAATGATTAACTTATGTTGCTAACGGTCATCTCAGAAGAGTAATTGTATCTTCATCAGGAGTACTTTTCTCTTGCCTATGTGTTTGTGAAGCTATTAGGCGAGCTGTAGACCTATTTGTTTTCTTACCGCGACCCATCTGAATATCTTGACATAATATACATATGAATTATTAGTACATTTTGAATAAATTAAGGTTGCTTATTAAAAACAACAAATTGAAATAACTAGACATAACACAAATAATATAACAAGTGAAAAAATAGAGAAATTACTTTTTATACACACATCTATTACCTCAATCACTTGAGAATCAAAAGGCTCGCCATCATCACTTGAAGAACTCTGTCCTTTATCAGCATCAATTGGTTAATAGTCCTCATCATTATCACTTTCACCCACCTTTCTCTTTCTCACCCTAGAACTTTTATTATTGTCCTTTTGAATAGAACCAGACAATGATTTCTTGACGGACTTTATCCCTAGAGCATCAAATCTTATTTTATTTTTTTGGATTGCTTTTTTCCTATCCTTCTCATATTTCGTCATCTTTTGGACCAAGCTGCCGGGCTTCATAAATAATTTACCCTTTTTGGACATCTTTGCAACTATAGATATGGCATATAATTAAATGCAATGAAATGTGAAACAATGCTATGAAATTTGAAAAACAGTGCCATGAAATGTAAACCAAGAAATTTATTATTAAATTATAATACTTGTCCATATAATAAAAAAGCAAACACTACATATCATAATCTATATCAAGATCTATATCAGGATCTGCATCAACATTAGGTTGTCTATGCAGTCCATCATCTTCACCATCATTATACTCTATCATTGTGTCATCCTCATCATCATTGTGAACTAAATTCTCTCCCATTAGTTGATCATTGAAAATGATCTCAAGATCCATATCATCCCTGATGTATTGAACATCATTATCTTGGATCACTACCCCAACACCATCAGTGGTTTCATCTTGTTGAAAAGCATCATTAGAGACATCATCCTGCTCTGGTATATCCCATACTCCTCGATGCTTGACCCGCCCAACGACTCTCCAATTTTTGTCTTTGTTGGTATCATTGACATAGAATACTTGTCTCACTTGACTAGGTAGAACAAATTGGTCATCTTTATACCAAAGTCTTGTAACATCAATACTTGTGACATGTTCATTGGAGTATATTCTATTCTTGTGACTGGTGTCATACCATTCACATCGGAACAAAACCACTGTACCCCATGCAAGTATTTCAATTCCCATATTTTGGACAAGTAGCTGTAAAAATTAATTTGGTTCCCATTATGGTCCCTTTCTGCGACCAACCCACTATTTTGGCACGGACAAAAATTTTCATGATTTCTAGTATGGAATCGAATTCCATTGTAGATGCACCCAGAATAAAAGTCAATTACCGATCCAGGACCATTTGCTAATGACCACAATTCGTTAGTTGCTTCAGGTCACCCTTTCGTTCGCAAATCATTCATCTACATAAAACAGCATATAACAAGTGTACTAAGTTAATGTGAATTGACAATCATTACATGAGTATTCAATTAAGTTCTTTAGTATGCCATATAAGATTTTTGAACCATTTTGGAAATTCTTCTCGTTGTACCCGAGTTATGTCACAACCTTGTGGATTACGCACAACATTCTTGTGCTCCCTACCCAAGGAAATGTGATACACGTGATTAACTTAGAGAGTTCAAAAAAAAAAAAAATGGAACAATTATGCATACACATAATTAAATTGAAATACATACTCAATATATGGCTCCACCTCAGAGCTATTCTACAATGCAAACCAGTGAGCCATTTCTCATTCATTCTGCGAAGGGTCAAGAGCCCTTGTGATAGGTGAGAATAGACGAGCATTTTAGGTGAAGACCTCCATCCGAGGACCACGTTCACCACCATCATCATTTCATTCGGGCTTATCAATCCTTCTTAAGTACATTGAACAAAAAGTAAGACACTCTTCGACAATGTAAGCCTCAGCGATAGAACCTTTTGGACGTGCTCTATTACGGACATATCCTTTCAAAGTCCCAAGAAACCTTCAACAAAAATTGACAATGAAGATTATGCTTGTTGATGCAAGAAAATTACTCCTTAAACAATAGTCTTTTATGGGTGGATTTTTGTACAATAATTTATTTACAAAAAAATTAATAAATAACCATATGTTCATAATGATTACCTTTCGATCGGGTACATCCATCGATATTGTACCAGTCCAGCAAACATGGCCTCACGCGGCAAGTGAACAGCTAAATGGACCTTCACATCAAAGAAAGCGGGACGAAAAATTTTCTTCAACTTGCAAAGTATGAGCACAATTCGTTTCTCTATTTTTTCCAAATCAGTCTGCCTTAATGTTTTTTAGCACAGTTCTTGAAAGAAGTTGCCCAACTCAAATAGTGTTATAGAGATCTCCTTGTTCACAAAACCACGCATGCCAATTGGAAGAAGTCACTGAAACAAGACATGACAATCATGGCTTTTCATGCACGATAATCTTCCATTTTTAGAAGTCACACATCTTGAGATGTTTGCTGCATAGCCATCTGGATAACTCATAGACTTCAAGAATTCACAAAAACCATCTATTTGTCGAGAATCCAATGTGTAGGATGCCCGAGTCTTGACAATGGATCTGTTATCTTTCCTCTGTAGATGTAATTCTTTCTTATGCCCATTTCTTGCAAATCATCACCTGCTTTGTACGTGTCCTTGTTTTTTCTGATCTATGGCCAGTATCGTCCCATAAAAGTTTTCACAAATGTTCTTCTCAATGTGCATGACATCAAGATTGTGTTGGAGCTTTAGTTTATTCCAATATGTTAGCTCCCACATTATGCTTTTCTTTGTCCAATTCAATTCTTCAGACTCTCGTGGCCTTTTCTTGTTGGTAGGATCCTTTCCAAACTTGACTTCTCGCAATTGATCCAATTGAGCCATTACTTTTTCCACCGGTAAATCTAAGGATTTCTTCCTAAGCTTAGTTAAACCATCAAACTTCTTATCCTTCCTCCAACGATGGTTATCAGGCAAGTAAGCTCGATGACCCACCCATCCGATCTTACTGATCAACCCACGTGATAACGGATTATCATTACAAGGAGGGCAAGCCAAATAACCTTTAGTTCTCTATCCGGACAAGTCACCATATCTAGGGAAGTCATTTATGGTCCACATTACAGCTACATACATACGGAAGGCCTGTTCAGTGGAGGCATCGTAAGTCATCACGCCATTCTCCCACAACTCCTTCAAGTCATCAATCAATGGCCTTAGGTAGACATCAATATCAGTCCCTAGTTGATTACGTCCAGGAATAAGTAAGGACATCATGCAAAATGGGGCCCTCGTACATCTCCAAGGTGGGAGGTTATAAGGCATGTGTATGACAGGCCACATGCTATAAGAAGTGCTCATGTTCCCAAAAGGGTTGAACCCATCAGTGGCTAGGTCCAATCTAACATTGCGAGTCTCTTGGGAAAACTGTGGATAATGCAAATCAAATTCCTTCCACTCTTTACAATCAGCCGGATACCTCCCTACACCATCGTCAACACGCTTATCATTATGCCATCTCATGTCTTTAGCCGTCTTCCTAGACATGTGCAATCTTCTCAACCTAGGTGTCAATGAGAAGTAACGCAATATCTCGTGAGGGATCTTCTTACCCTTGCTATCATTTACTCTATACCTAGATGCTTGACATGTGGAACATTTTTCCAATGTAGCATTCTCCTTCCAGAATAGTACACAATCATGTTTACATGCATAGATGAGCTCGTATCCTAAGCCCAAGTCATGTAGTAACTTCTTGCACTCATAAATTGACCTTGGCACCACATGGCCCTCTGGTAGGAATAACCTTTGTATCTCCATAACCTTGCCAAAAGACTTATTGATCCACCTATTTTCAACCTTCACATGTAGCATCTGAATAACGAATACTAACAGAGTATTTGAGTTTTTGTAACTTGGGTACAAGCGGCATTGGGAAGCAGGTAACAATTTATCAAAATTTCGTACATCCTGTTTTTCTAGAGTATCACCCTCCACAAAATTGCCCCTCTGATAGTCCTCTATCAGGTTATCATATTCATCTTGATCCTCGTCATTTTCACCATTGCTTTCATCAAGGTTATTGTGTTCTAGAAGTTCACCATGTTCTAACCAAGTGGTGTATGATACTATCATCCCACTTATGAGCAAATGAGCCTTCACAATATCATACTCCTACTTATAAAAGATACAATAGTTGATGCATGGGCACTTAATCTCCCTAGCCTCACCCAAATGAACCTTTGCAAATTCAATAAATGAGTTCACCCCATCTACATATGGCTGACTGAATTTGTTAGAAATTAACATCCAACTCCTGTCCATATCTGATCATAAGATAGTAGTTAATACCAATACGACACAACGTTTATTTATTATTATTTTTATTTTTATTATTATTATTTATTTATTTTTATTTTTTAGACATAAAGACAAAGTAGTTAATATAATTGTAGAGTGACACATCATCGTCAATGAAGGTGCATCTAGCTATGGGCTTTTTTTAATTTTGTATCAAGGTTTTGACCAACAAATCCTTTAAAATTCTATTCTATCTGCATCTATTATGTAAGTTAAGTGTTTTTTACATTTATCAACAACAACAACAACAAATATATATATATATATATATATATTTTTTCATGTTACATTCCTAAACTTAGTCATGAATTGGAAAAGTGTTAGAAGGAAGTGAATAGCAATAGCAAGCCTAAGCCTATGTTGTGGACAAAAAAATGAAACCTTAACAAAAAAAGTTCAAGAAGGATAGAAAAAGAAAGGTATATAGTAGGCATATGTGTTGTTTCTCTATTGATTTATGAAACTCCACAATTCCAATAATAACTTCATAAAACTGTACTACAAATAGCTTATGCATTTTTCCTACAATAACATAAATAGCTTGATAAAATTGTACTACAAATACCTCAAGGAAAAATGTGCAAGCTCCTACACTTTCATATATTTCCTGGGCAACTAACATAAAACTTTTTAGCAAGTCACCAATCAAGAGAAGCGGGTGACTAGTCAACAGGTGTCCAACACCCAAACTACCAATCAAGAGAGGCATCTAACATTTAACAAAATATCAAGCCCACAGTACCTGTCTCCTAACCACGGTACTGACATGACTTTTTCCTATATATCAGTTGGTAGAGCTAGCCTTTTAAACTTTTACCCTTTTCAATCAGCACCCGCATCACAAACACAAAATCTTAGGCTTCACAATCTCACAAGATGCCATGCTAAACAAGATGTGGTCAAACTCTTTTGGAACTTGACCTCACAAGCATCCAAAAGAAATTTTAGACTTCTTAAAATCTAACACAAATACTAGTATCTCACAGTTGCCAAATCCTTATGACCTAGCAAATATTAGGTTCTTAGCTAAAGTAAGGTGTGGAGAGAGCAAGATATACATAGCCTTATCCTAATTTCTGGATAGCTGTCAATCAACCTACTAGTTAAAAAAGAGCAGACTAATTGTTCAAGTATAACCAAAACTTTAATGAGATATCTACAGCTCCAAATGTATGAAATTTACCTCAAAATGTAGGGTTAACTGCATACTAAAAGTAAAATGTATAAAAACAATTAATCATCAATGTTAAAATCTCAAACAAGTGTACTAATTAGTTACTTTAAAAATAAATAAATAAAGGTTAACAAGATACTCCTGCCAGTGTACAAACTTTTCATGAAATAGATAACATGCAAAACCACAGCATAAGCTAAGCAAAAAATCCAATATGCAACTACGGGTAACATGAGATTGAATTATTAATAATGCCATACCTAAATCTTTTCTTGCATGTTCTGTTTTTCCTTGTTCTTACAGCCTCATGTATCTTTCATGAGCTTTTTGTTTCTCTCTCTCTTCTCTATGAACAAACAAATAAAAAAAAAGGACACAAATCCAAAAAGTCAAAAGGTCATATACATGGCAGCCATGCAATCCAAAATTATTGTGTTATTTTGATGGGATATGTGCAGTTTACTTTCATACTTTTGAGAATGAGTATAAAATAAAAAGTTCAAAGGTCTAATAATTTAGGGTAAATTACAGTCACCTCCCGTGAGATTTGAGAAAAATACAGTTAGCCCCAAAAATCTGGCATAATTATATTGACCTCCCTTGTAGTAAACTTTCTACAGTCTCTTGCAGGTGGATTTCGCCCATTGGGCTCACAACCATAACAATGGGATATAACATGAGCATCTTCTATAACTAGTTCTGTTCAAGTTCATTGTGCGTTGGGATTGTGTAGTTGATGGGTGTGATGAGCTCAAACTAGTAACAAATCAGTGGCTATGGCTATAGTTGGCTGGTGTTAGGTTATCCTATTTCTCTACAATTTTTGTATGAATCTACGTATTTGTATTTGTTGTTCTTAGACCAACCGACTCAACTGCCTCAATCAAACCATCTCAAAACACAATGGTTTGGTAGGGTTATATGCTTTGAATGGTTTGTTTCGGTGCCCTACTATATACAAAATAAAAAAGATTCAGTAGAACCCAAATTTTGATATGAACCCCAACCAAACCAAACCCTGTTTAGCCCCCACTCCCTAAGTCAATATGACAAAGTAAAAACCTTACTTTTCTATTCTAGCCTCTACCCTCAACTACTGAAGGAACAGTTTGGTTTTGTAAGCCACTCAAATTGACCTCTTTCAATTTGAAAACTATTATACAACTCCCCCAGCAATTGAATAAAACAAGCAGAAAGGACAATCCTCTCTCACTAAAAGAGAGACCAAGGCACAGTTGGCCATGGCAATGAAACTCTAAACAAAACCAACAATTGAGAATCTTTTTAATGTTTGTTAAATGGTAAAAGGCAGTTGGCATGACAATTTACTATTCCAATTCATTCCAATATCATCCTTAAAGGACATTACCTAATGGGCTCCTACAAATTAAGGGCATAGGGAAGGACTAAGAGTGGCTACAGGCCTAACCCATGTACTATTTGTGCGAAGGGACTACATTTTTCAATTCAAACCCATATTTTCATACACAGGAACTCAAGCATTTACCACTACACCAATCAATACCCCCTCTTTGATGAAACTTCTAGTTTAGCTAAAAGGGGTTTCCAGCTCTCTTAAAAAGCCCTAGCACAAATTACATCCATCCACTACATCTAAGTTTTCTACTAATGAACCTATGCATTTACTTCCTATCATGCAACTTGATCATAAGATTTACACTCTTAGTCATAGACTCATAGGCCTCCTAACAATAGATGCAAAGATTTGTCATTTATGTACTTTCCAAAATGAGTTACTCAAGCAGATGCTCAAGTTGGGAATAGATTTGATTTGACACCAGTTGAAATAGAACAATTTTAAGGTATATAAGTAGTTAGAAAATAAAAGGCAATGTTGATAATTTGCCAAGATGGGATATATTGCAACCAAACAGCTGAAAAAAAATGAGGAATACTTTCTTTTTTTTTTCCTCTAATAAATGCAAAAGTAGGAGACTACAGTTAACAAAGGAAAAAATAATAATAACCAGTAGATATAAGTGAAAAGAAAAGGTTGAGAACTAGATACATTAACAACCCTTAACCTAAAAAGTGATGATGTGAGGCAAAATGAAATCATATGCAAACAAAACAGAAATAATATTTTTGCTATTCAGATGCCCTGGCAGTTACAATCTTTTTATACCTTTGTTTCAATTTTACTATTCTATATGTTTTGCCTACTTAAACATGGGAAGATAGAGAAAGAGAAAGGGGGAAAGTTTTCTGGATGATTTATTTAATTAAAAACCTTGTTTAACTAAGTAGACAAGGATTAAACAAACCTCTCGCGTTTCCAAATCTGATTCCCAATTCGTAACACCCTACACCATTCCTTGAAATTTATATCCCAAATCGAGTTTCATCGTCAAAACCACCCAACACAATAACATTCACACAACCATGATTTTTGTCTTCCTTCGACCTTACTTCAGCACAATTTGAGTAAAATTATGGCTTTATAGGTTACTAACTAGAGGGACTTGTAATCTCACTTGGCCAAGTTTTTGGATTTTCACCTTGAAACTTAAAATTCATAAGCACTTGATGACTATTTACATTATTTATATAGTTCAAAACCAAGATTGGATATAATAATGAATAAAACTATTAGACTCATGGAATAGTGAAAAATCCTAAAAATAAAAATAAAAAGCAAAGTCTAGGTTTATGAATTTAGAAGGACCAAAGAATGACAGACCATATTGGAAATTGTGGATTCCATTTTATGTCTTTATAGGTAAAATGTAAGAAAACATCCTATCACGGCCCCATTCCGCGCCTAGTAGAATGGTGCCGTGATGGCCACTAATCCGAGATTATCAAAGTCTTTTAAGGCTTTCAAGTTTCAAGGGGTGACATTAACAAAGGTGCTACAAAAGCTTAGAGTCCTCTAGCACGTAAGGACTTTCAAAGGTTGTGCTACAAATGCTTATAGTCCCCTAGCACGTACGGACTTTCAAAGGTTGTGCTACAAATCCTTATAGTCCCCTAACACGTACGAACTTTCAAAGGTTGTGCTACAAATGCTTATAGTCCCCTAGAACGTACGGACTTTCAAGGGTCACCCAAAACAAAACTTATACTTGATACACAAAATAGGGGTAATCATTCATGCTTAACAAATACTTTTCAAAACAAAGCAAAGCAAAGTTTATCAAAACATTGAAACATAGATTAATTAAAAATACTACTCACATAGTTCTTCAAACGTCGGGACTACAGGCAAGGATCCAAGGCCTACAAGCACATAACAAATCCCATTGAATGCACTATCAAACAAGCTTTGCATTCGGCATTCTTTCAAAACTAAGTCGATCCAAAACAAAACATTGTTCCTCATCTCGGGAAAACATAATGGGCACCATCCAAGTCTTGGCCGAGGTCCCACACCTCCCTTGCTGAGGTGTGGTCCCGATGGCCACATTCAAGGAAACGAAGTCGGGAAAATCTGGGTTTCCCCTTCTTTGAAGAACATGAAGAACATGAATTCAAAGAGCTTAACTCGTTATTAAAAAATCTGAGATTTCATGCTATGAATTCAAAAACATGGACCTGGGCACCCATACTCGAAGATTTTATGAAAACAAACACAAAAACATGAATCTTGATGCAAGCTTTCTGATCAAACAAGGCTTTTATTCAAGAACACATGAATACCACTTTCTTTTTCTAAAACCAAACTTTAAATCAATGCATGGCTTACAAATCGTGCTCGATCATGCAATGCAACTAGATGAACAATAAGAACAACAAGAGTAGATCAAGATTCTAACCTCAAGACAAGAATCTAACGGCTCAAGGTGTGAAGATCAAGCTTGGAAAATCTATTCCCTCTTTAAGAACTCCTCCCTCTTCTTCCTAGAGCCTCTCTCTCTAAAGACAAGGATATGATACAAAATGATGTGTTTCTCAACAGCTTACTCACTTAACCCTCTGCTGGGACACGTGGCATCGGCTGGTTGGCTCTACTAAAAAAGGTGACTGAGTGAAAAGACAAGGCTACGACAAAGTGTGTTCAACACGCAAGATGGCAAGGGTACTCCGGCAAGTAGCAATCTCGGCTAAGGACAAAACTTCGGCAAGTAAGGGAAGAATGACCTTGGCTAGGAAAGACAACACTTGGCCTAGCTGTGCCACACCTTGGCCTAGATGTGCCACACCTCGGTCTAGGTCGCGCCAATCTAGGAACAAGATCACTTAGGCGCAAAGGTAACATCTCGGCCTAGATGATACACATCTCGGCCTTGGTGATGAACACCTCGGCCTAGATGATGACATCTCGGCCAACATGCCTTGGTGAAGGTGGAGGTCAACCAAAGTGGTTCCAAGATGGTTCTAAGCTTAAGGTGACCTCGGCTTGGATTAACCTAGGGTAAACACACACACCAAAGAAGGAACAAAGCATGCAAGTAACATTTATGCAAGACAAATTAAGGTTTTGCAAATGCAACATATCAAGACAAGATCATGTAATATATGCAAGCATGACTAGAGTAAAGTGAGGGTTGTTACATCCTACCCTCCTTAAAGAAGTTTGGTCCCCAAACTTAAGTTACCTTGCTCTACAAGTAGCTCCGGATGACGGATTTTCACTTCTTCTTCCTTTTCCCATGTAGCCTCCTTGCCATAATGCTCATTCCATTCAACCTTTACCATCGATATCGACTTGTTTCTCAACTGTCTCACTTGTCTGTCAATAATTCTCATCGGCTTCTCCTCATAGCCTAAATCTTCATTAACAGCAATCCCGGAATAATCAATTACATGCAGTGGATGCCGAATATACTTCCTCAACATCGAAATATGGAACACATTGTGAACTTGACTTAGTTCTGGTGGTAAAGCCAGTCCATAGGCAGCTGGGTTAACTTTCTCAAGTATTTCAAATGGCCCGATGTAACGCGGTGCTAACTTACCTTTCTTCCCAAATCTGAAAATTCCTTTCATTGGTGAAACCTTCAGGAATACATGATCCCCAACTTCAAAATCCAACTCTCTTCTTCTCTGGTCGGCATAACTCTTTTGTCGACTTTGAGCAGTTTTGATCCTTTGTTGAATGAGCTTAATCTTCTCGGTTGTAACTTGAACTAGCTCGGGACCAATCAAAGCTTTATCTCCCACTTCAGTCCAACATATCGGCGATCTGCACTTCCTTCCATACGAAGCTTCGTACAGTGCCATGCCAATGCTGGCTTGATAACTGTTGTTGTAAGCGAATTCTACTAACGGTAGATGGACTTCCCAACTTCCCTTGAAATCTAACAAACACAGTCTGAGCATATCTTCGAGTGTCTGAATCGTTCTTTCTATTTGTCCATCGGTCTGGGGATGAAAAGCTGTGCTAAACTTCAACTCGGTTCCCAAGGCTCTTTGTAAACTCTGCCAAAATGTAGAAACAAACTTCGGATCTTGGTCTGACACAATGGACATCGGCACTCCATGAAGTCTCATAATCTCATTCATATACAATATAGCAAGTCGGTCAGCATTGAATGTAGTCTGAACAGGCAAGAAGTGTGTTGACTTGGTTAATCTGTTAATGATAACCCAAATTGAATCCATTCCTTTTTGTGTCCTCAGCAAACCAACCATAAAGTCCATGGAGATGCATTCCCATTTCCACTCAGGAATCGGCAAGGGTCGAAGTAGTCCTGCTGGCCTCTGGTGTTTTGCTTTCACTTGTTGACAATGTAAACACTGGGATACGAACTCGGCTATTTCTCTTTTCATATTCGGCCACCAAAAAGTTTGTTTCATATCTTGATACATCTTAGTGTTCCCTGGATGAACAGTAAATTTGGAACCATGACATTCCTGCAGAATCTTCATTTTCAACTCTGGAATGTCGGCCACGCACAATCTTCCCTCAAACTTAAGTACCTTTTTTTCAATAGTGTACCTTGACCTCGGCTTAGTGAGAATCTCATCGGCAACTTTCTTGAAGAATCTGTCTTCCATTTGTCTGGCCTTCGCTTCCTCTATAACGGTCGGTTTCCCTGAAATCATGGTTAAGCATGCCAGACTCCCAACTGATTTTCTGCTCAATGCGTTAGCTACTGAGTTTGCTTTACCTGGGTGATACTGAATTTGCATGTCGTAGTCTTTCAATAACTCAAGCCATCTTCTCTGTCTCAAATTTAAGTCCTTCTGACTGAATAAGTACTTTAAACTCTGATGATCTGTGAAAACTTCGCAAGAATCCCCATACAAGTAATGACGCCAAATCATTAAAGCAAACACCACGGCTGCTAGCTGTAAATCATGGGTAGGATAATTCTTTTCGTGAGGTTTCAACTGACGGGATGCATACGCTATAACCTTACCTCCTTGCATTAACACGCAACCCAATCCCTTATGTGAAGCATCACTAAAAATCTGAAATTCTTCTTTGTCTGACGGTAGTATAAGTATCAGTGCTGTAACCAACCTCGTCTTTAACTCCCGAAAAGCTGATTCCCTATCCTCGGTCCATTCGTAAACCACTCCTTTCTGAGTTAGTTGTGTCAGTGGTAATGCAATCCTTAAGAAATCCTTCACAAACTTCTTGTAATAGCCGGCCAAACCCAGAAAGCTACGAACCTCAGACACGTTGGTCAGCGTCGGCCAATTCACGACGGCTTCAATCTTACTTGGATCAACAGAGATTCCTTCTTCATTAATCACATGGCCCAAAAATGAAATGTTGGAAAGCCAAAATTCACACTCGCTAAGCTTGGCATATAATTTCCTATCTCCTAGGATTTGTAAGGCTAGTCTCAAATGCTGCTCATGCTTACCACCACTCTTGGAATAGATCAGTATGTCATCGATGCAAACAACCACGAACTCGTCTAGGTACGGCTTAAAAACTTTGTTCACCAAATCCATGAATGCTGCAAGAGCGTTGGTCACTCCGAAAGGCATTACCAAAAATTCATAGTGGCCATACCTTGTCCGAAAAACAGTCTTCTCGACATCCTCGGCCTTAAATTTTAGCTGATGGTAGCCCGACCTCAGATCAATCTTCGAAAGACCGGTGCCCCTTATAGTTGATCAAGTAAATCATCAATCCTCGGTAATGGATATTTATTCTTAATGGTCACCTTATTTAGTTCTTGGTAGTCGATACAAAGACGAAGTGTACCATCCTTTTTCTTGACAAATAGAACTGGTGCTCCCCAAGGTGAAGTGTTCGGCCTAATAAATCCCTTGTCCAACAATTCTTGTAATTGTAGTTTCAGTTCCTTGAGTTCGACTGGGGCCATTCTATAGGGTGTTTTGGAGATAGGTTGGGTTCCCGACATAACATCAACCGTAAATTCTATTTCCCTATCCACTGACTGGCCAGACAATTCATTTGGAAAGACATCGGGGAATTCCCTAACCACTGGGATGTCGGCTAACTCAACATTTCCATTCAATTCACTTAGTATACTACACAGATAACCTTGACACCCCTTTTGGATCAACTTATAGGCTTTCATGGATGAGATTAAGTAAGGTGGGGGTACTACTCCTTTACCTTGGAAAATAACCTCGGCTTGGTTTGGGGGTTTCAGTGTGACACTCTGCATGATTTGCTATTAACCAATCCATTCCCAAAATGACATCAAAGTGACTTATGTTCAACGGCATCAAATCAACTAATAATTCTACATCCTCAATCACAACAACACACGCCCTATAAAAGGCTTTTTTTGTCGCGGAAGATTACCCTTTGGCGACCACAAAAAAAAGTTGGTCGCGGAAAGTTATGGCGAGATAAATTTAAAAAAAAAATGATACTACAGTAATTACATGCTATTTTTCTATTTAGGCATTAAAAGTTTTATAAAATAATATATAACCCAATTTTTATGGGTTATATATTTTTTTTGTTAAATATGAACAAGAAGTATGTTATTGGCAGAGTGGTAGAGTGGATTGGGTGCATGGTGACTCCTTGGTCAGGAGTTGAAGTCCCAGGGAGCACAAAAGAATTATTTTTTTTGGGTCAAGGCGCTGACTTTTGGCGACCAACTTATCTTTGGTCGCTAAAAGTTTACTTTTGGCTAATATGAATTGGACTTTTCGCGACCAAAAAAGTTGGTCGCGAATGGTCACTTTTAGCGACCAAAGGCTTTTTTGGTCGCAGAAAACTATCTGTGACGAGGCTTTAGCGACCAACTCGCGACCAACATATTTTGGTCGCGAAAAGGTTTTAGCGACCAAATATGGTACTTTTCGCGACCAAACATGTTCGTCACGGAAATTGTTTTTTCTAGTAGTGCTTCTAATTGTAGTTTTAGTTCCTTGAGTTCGGCTGGGGCCATTCTATAGGGTGTTTTGGAGATAGGTTGGGTTCCCGACATAACATCAACCGTAAATTCTATTTCCCTATCCACTAACTGGCCAGGCAATTCGTTTGGAAAGACATCGGGGAATTCCCTAACCACTGGGATGTCCGCTAACTCAACATTTCCATTCAAATCACTTAGTATACTACACAGATAACCTCGGCATCCCTTTTGGATCAACTTATAGGCTTTTACGAATAAGATTAAGTAAGGTGGGGGTACTACTCCTTTACCCTGGAAAATAACCTCGGCTTGGTTTGGGGGTTTCAGTGTGACATTCTTTGAAACACAATTAATAGACGCATGATTCGTTACTAACCAGTCCATTCCCAATATGACATCAAAGTGAGTCACGCTTAACGGCATTAAATCAACTAATAATTCTACACCCTCAATCACAACGACACACTCCCTATAAATGGATGCAACAATCATAGTTCTCCCAGATGGAGTAGACACATAGCATATAATCAAGGGGTTCTTGTTCTCTATTTAACTTCTCGACAAACTTAACAGATACAAATGAATGTGTAGAACCCAAATCAATCAATATGTATGCATCTTGAGAGCAAATTGGGAATATACCTGACACGACTGTCTCAGCATTCTGAGTGTCTCTTAGTACCAATGCAAAAACTCTGCCCTGTCTCGTCAGGGCCCTCCCAATGTTATTCCTCTGTGCAGAGCCTGAGGTACTCCCATTCTTCTCACCATCATTAGCCCTTGCCTTCGGACAGTCCTTCACGCGATGACCCATTTCACCACATTCAAAGCAGGCTCCTGATGCCCAACGGCAAACTCTAGAATGCAGTTTCCCATAACTTGCACACGTCGGCTTAGCATTACCTTCCTGGTTCGAGTTGCTGAAGCTGCCCACATTCGCTTTCTTCTTGGCGTTAAACGAAACTCGGTGATTATCATAGTTCTGTCTCTTCCTCTGGCTCTCTCCTGAATTCTGATATCAATTCAAGTTAGCTTCTGCAAGGATGGCCTTGTCCAATACTCCGGCGTAGGTCGGCATGTTGAGCATGTTAACTCGATCTTGTATCGGCCCACGAAGCCCACTTTCAAACTTCCTGGCTTTTCTATATTCATCATCGACCATGTGAGGCGCATATCTCGCCAACTCGGTAAAAGCACAGTCATATTCTGCCACTGTCCTACTGCCTTGTGTCAGGGTCTGGAACTCCGTAGTCTTGCGATCTCGAACGCTAAGGGAAAAGTGTTTGTTGAAAACAACTCCAAAAATCTGGCCCAAGTCAGACCTGGGTTGCTTTCTCGAGTCATCATCTACCATCTTCGTGCATCGTCGTCTAATGTGAACGCGGCCAATGACACCTT